GAAAGAGAGAGAGAGAGAGAGAGAGAGAGAGAAGAGAGAGAGAGAGAGAGAGAGAGGAAGAGGAGAGGAGGAAGAGAGGGAAGAGAGAGAGGAGAGAGGGAGAGAGGGGAGGAGAAAAGAGAGAGGGGGAGAGAGGGAGAGAGAGAGGGAAGAGGAGAGAGAGAGGAAGGAGAGAAAAGAGAGAAGAAAAGAGAAAACAGAGACACACAGGACAGACAGACAAAGACAAAGACGGGTAAAACAAAGGTAAGGAAGGAGGAGACCAAAGAGTAGAAGAACGAACTAATGGAAAAGAAAAAAAAGAAAAAAAAAACCAAAAAAAAAACAAGAAGAAGGCAAGAACAAAAGGGAGGAATCAGAGGAGCACACTCCACGCCGTCTACAAACAGGTGCCTCGGAGACCACGACGGCGCGCGCTGCAACAACGCCACCTACAAACCACGCGAACCTAGCCCTCCTACGGCCGCGCGTTGAGTCACCCGGCCAGCCCCAAACGCGGGACAGCTGAGCACGTCTTTCGGGAGTCGCTCGGGCTACCATCAGCGGGGGTGGTGGTATAAAGCGATTTCACTGAATGACGACTCAAACGCAAGAAGCATTGTTTATCTGTTTGTTTGTTTGTTTTGTTTTGTGTGATAGCGATGGGCACGCGCGAGAGCATTGTCATTGTTAATTTTGTTTTCCGGGTTTTTCTTTTTGTTTGTTGTTTGTATGATAACGACTTGCAACGCCGCAGAGCATTGTCATTGTTTATTGTTTTCCCGGTATTTTTCTTTTTTGTTTGTTTGTTTGTATAAAAACGATTCAACGCCAAGAAAGCATTGTTATTGTTTATTTTGTTTCCCGGTATTTTTCTTTTTGTTTGTTTGTTTGTATAATAACGACTCAACGCCAGCAGAGCATTGTTATTGTTTATTTTGTTTCCGGTATTTTTCTTTTTAGTTTGTTTGTTTGTATGATAACGATTCAACGCCGGCAAAGCATTGTTATTGTTTATTTTGTTTCCCGATCTTTTTCTTTCTTGTTGTTCTGTTAAGATAGCGATTCAACGCCGCAAAGCATTATTATTGTTTATTTTGTTCCCATCTTTTATTTTTGTTTGTTTTGTTTGTACATACGATCCAACGAAAAAGCATTGTTATTGTTTATTTTGTTTCCCGATCTTTTTCTTTGTTTCTTTCTTTGTATGCTAACGATTCAACGCCAGCAAAGCATTGTTATTGTTTATTGTTTCCCGATTTTTTTTTTTTATTTTTATTTTTGTAATAACGATTCAACGCCAGCAAAGCATATTATTGTTTATTTTGCTTCCCTTTTTCTTTTTCTTTGTTTGTTTGTATAATAACGATTCAACGCCAGCAACGCATTATTATTGTTTATTGTTTCCTGATATTTTCTCTTTCTGTTTCTTTGTTTGTTTTGATGCTCTGGTTATTTATAGTGGTGGCTCTGTACATTTTCTATTTGGGTTATTCTTTTTCTTCCGCTTTTTTACCGCCTTCTCCGTTTTCTCTTTTGAGTTCTCGAGTTGCTATCTCTCTCCTTTAATGGCTGTTCCGTTTTCTTTCATGGCGTCTGATTTTTTCCTCCTTTTTATTTTCCTTCCTTAAGCTTACTCTCTTCACTCTTTAGTCTCTTCCTCCCTTGCCTTTCGTTTTATCATCGTTTGATATTTTGTCTCTGTGTCTCTGTTCTGCTCTCTTTCTCTCTCTCTTACTCCTTTCCCATATACATTTCTCATTTTCTTCACTCGCCCTTCATCTCTGCTAATCTCCCTTTCGGGTTTGGATTATTATTCTCTCTTCCCTCTCTCCCTCTTCTCTCTTCACCCTCTCCTCTTCCTCTTTCTCTTCTCTCTCCCTCTCTGCTTTTGCTTCCTTCCTTCCTCTCCTTCTCTCTTCCCTCCTTCCTTTCCTTTTTCACCCTTCTCCTTCTCTTCTCACCCCTTTCCTCTCGCTTCCTTCACTTTCCCCTTCTCCTTTCCTCCTCTCTTCCTTCTCCTTCCTCCTCTTCCTCCCCTCCCTTCTCCTCTCCTCTCTTCTCCTCTTCGCTCTTCCCCTTCTCCTTTTCTCCTCTCCTCCTTCTCCCCTTCTCCTTTCCTCCCTTCTCCCCTTCTCCCCCCCTCCTTCCTTCCTCCCCTTCACGTTCCTCCTCTGAACTAGCTGTTTCCGGCCGGCTCGTCTCTCTCCCTCGGGTCACCTTGCCGGACGCCTCGGCTACGGCTGGGCGATCAGCTGGGCGATCAGCTGATTTTTGTTTACTGTTCTGCGAGTAATGGCTGTGGCGTCTGCTTAGAGCGACTGTGATGATTATTGTTATCAACTCTTATTTTTACTCTCCTCTTCGCTTGTTTTTTTATGCCCTTGCTTCATTTTCCTTCTGTCTTCCTTCGTCCTCTTTTTTCTCCATCTCCACCTCCTTTCCTCCTTCACTCTTCCTATTTCCCCTTCCTCCTCCTTTCCCGTTGCTCCTTCACACCTCCGCCTCCCACTTTTTCCCTCCTTTTCCTCTTCCTCCTTCTCCTCCACCCTCCCACCTCCTTCCCCCTACCCCCTCCCACCTCCCTCCTTCCTTCCCCCCTCCTCCTCCCTCTCCTCACCAGCATTCCTGTCACCCCATTATCGCAAACCAACATGTGTTTTGCGGTAATCTCACCCTTAAGGACCCCGAACCGTAATGCTGACCCTGGCAAACCATCCGCTGTTGTTGCTCCACGAGGCTACGGTTACGCTGGCCATTTGCGCTCGACACTTACGCTAAACAACTCATGCTTGATACTTGATACACGCTTGACACACGAGCTACCCCTTTCCGCTCGACATTTATGCTCGACACTTACGCTAAACATTCAAGCTTCATACTTATGCTCGACAAACGTTCAACGCATATGCTACACATTTACGCTCGACATTTACGCTAAACCCTTATACTTGCCTTTTATGCTTGATACTTCCGCTAGACACTTACGCTCGACATTTACGCTAAACCCTTATACTTGCCTTTATGCTTGATACTTCCGCTAGACACTTACGCTCGACATTTACGCTAAACCCTTATACTTGCCTTTTATGCTTGATACTTCCGCTAGACACTTACGCTCGACATTTACGCTAAACCCTTATACTTGCCTTTTATGCTTCATACTTTAGAACTTACGCTCCGACATTTACATTATAACTTGCCTTTTATGCTTGATACAGACACTTCGCTCGACATTTACGCTAAACCCTCGCCTTTTTGCTTGATACTTCCGCTAGACATTTAACATTTACGCTAAACCCTTATATTGCCTTTTATGCTTGCTAC